GAAGGCCTGCCAAATGCTTGGATTCTTATATTACTTTGAATTCCGATTTACTTTAAACTTAGTTTGATAATTGTGAAAAATGATTGTTAAAAGTTAAATTCATCATTTCCCAATATTTAGAAGGGAAAAATAATTTCAAATCAATGAAAAACTTAAAGCGAAACACAGGAAACTTGTCTTCCCCTGTTTACACCCGTGATACATTGATGTTCATTTTACTTGTTCAGACCATGTTTGAATTGCCTTTTAACTGTTTTATTCTTGTAAAACTTTCTGTTGGATTTCTGGTTACCAGATCAGTTTCGACACCAATCATATCTATGGATTCAACGGAGGTACATCTCTCTCTATGTGCGTGACTATTTGACTTAGCGGTGCAGTGCAGTTTCAGTTATTGTTTTCTCTCCCGGCCCCTTTTGTTTTCTTTTCTCCCTTCTTCTGGCATCTTTTCCCGTCCTTTTTCTTTCAGCATGGTTAGTTATTGGGCCAACGGAGGAGTCAGATTTCACATTTGGCGGACGAACAAGAGGCGAACCGATGGTGAGCGTTGAGGCAGTGGGATTCGGAAACTAATTTACTATAATAGATTTTGCTTTAGTTCTTTGTTAAAATTAATTGTTGTGTACCTCATCAAATAAAAAAATTATTATAAAAAATAAAATTTTAAAAAATAATAAAAGTATATTATAAAATTTTTTTAACTTTTAATATAAGAATCCCTACTAACCCATTCCCTCGCCACTGAATTGGGCACCAGGCGACTCAAAAAGGTCAGATTTGACTCTAGCAGCAGTGCTGTAGGCTAGCTTGGTCAGGGCATGATTAGCGGCCAACGGTGCCAGTTTAACTCTTCTCGTTCCTAATCGGCGCCACAAGGCATGGTGTAGCAGAGATGGTCTCCGTTAAGGCTTTGTGGCTAAGTTTGGAACGAATTTAAGATTTCTAATGAAGCGTCTTGCAATGTTTCGTTTGCATCCATAGCTGCTGCATCAACTCTGGAAATGCCATCGTATTTCTCTGTCCTCAATTATTAGCATTTTCCTTCTGTGGAGCCCACTGACATATATTGCATATAAGATTTTTTTTATAATTTTTAATTATAATTATACATATTTATTAACTTTTAAAATAGACACTTTATCTAAAAACTATATCTTGTTAAATATATAAATTTTACCATTAATCAATGTCCATATTTTTATTAATTTGATAACATAATAATATTTTTAAAATATTTTTACTTAACATTAATTTCAAAAATTATTAATATATAAATTTTAATTTTTAAATTTTTTTTTCTTATGAAAAAAAAATCTCTCTTACCGTTCATAGGTAGATTATCTTGCAATTGACACCAATCGACATTCTTCAAGTGAGCAGCAATATGGTGTCTCCTTGGTTTAGGGAGCATTCAATGATGCTCCCTTATGGAGCTAAGTGCTCTCCAGGGGAGCATCGATCTGGTGCTCCCTTATGGAGATCAAGTCAGATCTAGCATTTCACGTTTAGAATCAACCGTAGGGTGGTTAGTTAGTATAAGAGAGTGTCAACCGTAAGGTGGTTGACTTGAGAGTAAAAAAAATAAAAAAAATAATACGTTAAATATTTTATATTTAAACATGAACATCATTTACATGTTATCTAAAGAATTGTTTATCTTAAAACTTAATAGACATTATAATTAAAATTCAAAACTGTCGATTTTTTTTTCAACTTTTGGGTGACGGATTTACGTTTAATTTTCATATAAATACTATGAAGTTAAAATGACATAAATTTGTAGTCTGAAAAAGTTCACATAAAATGGAAATTAGTAAGGTCCTCGATGGACACCACAAGAACTAGAGCTACAGATAAACAGAGGGTTTATGATATAAAATTATTAATTTTATGTACATTTTCAAAGTTCAATGAATTAAATATAAAAAAACATAGCACTTTCCAACGTTTAAACTTGTTATTTTTTATTACCTTTTTTTTCTTTAAAAAGAGAAAAAAATTTTAAACTTACCTCATTGAGCGAGAAAATTCATGCAGCTCAAATGCTCTTATATGCTTATTTCATACTTTGACTGTTCTCATGTTTTTGCAGCAATTGCTATCCAATAAATAATCTGCTTAAAAACCATGATTTAAAATTTACAAAAAAAAAAAAAACAAGAGAAACAAACAAACAAAGTAAAAGCTAGAGGGGGAGCAAATTGACCTACAGCAAGACAGTGATCCAAGCAAATAGTCAGGTTTCAGGGATAGGCATGTCCTCATCGGTTGCTGGGGCCATGACCCACTCTCCATCTTCATTCCTCACAAGCCCTTTGTTCTTCTCCACCCACCATGACTCTGGCACCAAGCACTCATCTTTCAGAAACGCACAAGACTTGTTCACCAAAGCCAAACTTCTCTTCACTTTCAGCTCAAACTCTCCTTCCTCTCCATTCCACCCAGCTACTATGTGCAACATAGCCTGTAAATTATGCCAATCGCTGGGATTCTTCGAGTCCTTCAGGCTTGGCGACTTCCTTGTATCAATTACCAGCTCCGTTCCCGTATTAACATACCCCAACAACCGGCTAGGATAGTGGGGAATGAGATCAATTGAGTTCTTTATATGCAATACGCTAACATTTGGATACTTTTTCATCCTCTCATCGAAAGCCTTATTTCCAACCTGTGGGCAACCAAAAACAAAAGCCGCCACGGGAATATCATCGGCCACACCATTCTCAGCCACATCGAAAGCACTTATAACCGATAAGCTAGCTCCCAAGCTATGCCCTGTAAACACTATACTTAGATTTTCATTTTTATATCTCTCTTTCAACTCTTTAATCTTCCCCAAAAGCCGTGTCCTTGCACTTACTTTTGTAAAAGGTGACTTGGGATCGTCAGAAATGTAAATCGTCAGCCAACCAAGCATCACTTTAGGCTTCTTCTCATTATCATCATCGCTATCACTGCTGGTGCTTGTATCATCTTTCTCCTTGTTAGTACTACTAGTGTTTTCGTTGACTCGCAAAAGGGGTTTTGCAGACTCAAGCTTTGCACCAAGAACATTAACCCACTCATAGTCTCTCGTAGTTCCTCGCCACACTACGTAGATCTCGCGACGACCCAGAGCTTCTGTCCTTTCATCGGACGTCGTGGCGATGTAGCCAATCCAGTTTGATTCGCGGTCCCAGGACTCCCGGGACTTGGAGTGGAGCAAGAAGGCTTCAGGGAGACTGACCCGAGCAGTGGCATACAGAAAAGATTCCACTCTGTAATCGGAGGCAGATTCCAGCATAACTTTGTCGAAGAAAGCGGACTTGCCATAGCGGCTGGTGCCGCAGAACTTGGAGTTTTGGTCGTTGTTGAAGGCGTCATACGTGGCCTGGCAGAAGTCTCCACAGCGGAGGATGAGGTTCCGAAGTGAGAGGTTGATAGGATGAAGAAGAGAGTCCCAGTTTTTGTTTCCAAGGAGTTGTTGCCATGATGGTTCTGGTTCTTGAATTGTGGCCATGAGAGCAACTAAGAGATCTCTGGGCTTCGAGTTTTGCTGGCGAGAGGAAAGGTATCGACTTTTTTCGATATGAAAAAGCAAACGCTGATGACAATCTGGCACGGGCCCACCACCAAAAGCTTTGGGTAAATTAATTAATTAGGCAAAGTGGGCAATATCTCGCAAATAATTAACAACCTTCCCTATTTTTTTTTTTAACAAATATTGCTCTTATGTCCCTTCTTTTTTTCGTTAAAGATACTATGTAAGGGGAGGTTTGGTATGGTGTAAGTTGGCTACATTCCCCACAATTTAAATAATTTAGACATGGAAAAGTCTTCTCCGTTGTAAAGTCATCGCAAAGAGTTGAGGAATGTTATTCCCTTCTTTCACGAACGAAAAAATATTTTCCCTAAATTGTCCTCACCTCTACTGCAGACCGTTTCTTTTATTTTTCTCTTCTTCTTCCTCTGGCCGCTCGGAAGCCTAGCTGCAGAGTCGTATTATCAGTCTGCAAAGTCGCATTGTAAGTTCTTAAAGCCTTTTTCATAGGCAAACTCATTTCACCTCAGCTTGATGGAAAAGATGTGTTATATAATGAATGTTGCTGGGTTAGAGAGAGAGCGCAAGTTCTTGTTGTAGATTTTGTAGATGCTCTCAAGGGAGTCTGCCTGGTTGGACACCTTAAGACCTACAATACACAGGACAGATGCTAAACTTCTTGGCTACAGAGGCAGCTGGAGGAAGCACAGAGACTTTTCAAGAGCAAAAAAATAAAAAAAGGAGCTTTGTATATGCTTTCAAACATCATTCTTTCTCAAGGCAATGGAACATAATTGCCTATCTTTCAAAAAACAACTCTTGGCTATCTTTTTTAGTTTTTCTCTCTTTTGGTTTTGGTTAGGCTTGAGAAGCCACATTAAATGAAAAACTTTAATTGAGTTTTAACTGTAGACCATAAATATGTGTTTTCCAGAATAAATATTTAGTTATTCACCTATTTTAATAAATAGTTATTTATTAAAATATAATATTTAATCATTATATTATTATTTTAAAATTAATGTTAAATAGTTAAAAATTTACATTAATTAAAATATGAGTTTATTCAACTTTATATTTCATATACAAAGATAATTTTATACATTTATATTACATTTTCAATAAAATATTTTCAAATCGAATACAAAATATAATCCTCTCAATATCACATTTTCTATAATCATCATATAATATCAAATTTTATAAAATTAATTTTTTAGTAATTATGTTTTCAATAAAAACATTCTTCGCAAAATATCAAGTGTTGCTTAAATGGTACATCGGAGAAAATCTAGAAAAAATAGTAAGAGAATTTAATTAAATAAAAATTCAGATTATCCCACTTTTCTTATTTATAGATTGAATAATAATTCAGATGCCATTTGAATTTTTTTAGTATTTTTATACTATCGAAGCCAAATGAGAAATTATCCCACTTTCTATTTTTATAAATAAACATATCAAAAAAAGGAAGCAAGCAAGAAGGACTTAAATTACCTGAAAAAATTAGGACGTGGACACACGAAGCAAAAGATTTATGAAAGGCTTCAAACTCGTACGCAAGTGACTTGCGAATCGTTTTGAGTTCTGAGTCGTGACTCGCACGAGAAACTCAGCGGAAAACAGATTTGTGCTTTCTCCGTTTGTGTTGCAAACGAAAAATCCTAACGAAAATAAACAAACGAAAAGGAGGCAAAGAGTGAGAGCTAAGGAGAGGAGTATGTAGGAGCTAACAAGCTAAACATTGTACTTACAACATTCGATTCGAGGTAAGTGATTTCCGTTAAATTCTGTTCCAAAATTCCATCTCTTTGGTTGGTCGGGATTCAAATTCCACGAAAACCCATTAATTTCAATCAAAATCCCTTGCTTGGATTTCGAAAACGGAGCTTGAATTGTAACCATTTCGGATTCTGATTTATCTTACGGATTTTTGTTTTGTTAAAGATCGGTGTGTTGAACCATGGCTTTGATTGATGTGACCAAATCTTGCCTCGATTCCATTAGCCAAGTAAGTTCATTCTTTAATGGTCTTAATCGTCCTCTTATTACTGGATTGAGCATCTCCAATTATATCGATTGTGTATTGTCAATTCTTTTTTTTTTTTTTTATGAACAAAATTGTTACTTGTTTAACTACCAGTAGCTTGGTTGAAACTTTACAATGGGTATAACTTTCAGACTTAATTATCTACGTTAACCCAAGTTGATGGTTCTCTATCATGGCTTTTGAATGCAATGTTCACGACTTGGCAACAGAGCGGGAAGTTCTTGTGCTGCTGGATTTTTGTTGGCATTTACCTATCTCATCGATAAAATCCATTTGCTTACTTTGCTATGCAAATCTTTGATATTTAATATCAACGAATGATCTGACAATGAATCTTCTCCTCCCCCTATTTTTCTTATGGTGTTAATATCAAATCCTTTTTTAGGTGTAATACTAAAGATAAATATATCTGGTATAACTGGACAATTGATTGTCTTAATGTGTTCTCAATTAAGTTCTGTTGTGATGATTCTTTTTTTTCCTTGATTAGATATCGCAACATATTGAAGGTGCAATTATTTACCTAGATGCTGGATGCACGGAGAGTTTCCAGCTTATGGGAGCATTTCCTTTGTTGCTGGATCTTGGAGTACGCTCTGTTTGCAGCTTGGAGAATATGTGTTCCCTTGATGCGGTAAGCTAGCTGTGACATATGAAGCCCAAACTTTTCTAAGTGCTTCTTCCACAATCTTGTATCTGCTTTGCAAATAAGTTTAGTGGTTTCCTCCCCTATGCCGTTACAGAAGAAGGCAGAAAATTCCCTGCATTTCATTAACAAGTAAAGAATGTTATAATTTTCAATCAGTCAAATATGGTAAAGCAAAGGTTGTTTTAGAGAATCATATATTTCAGGATGTTAAAATGTGGACAAGAAATTTGTGCCATGTCAAAGACCTCTAAACATAAATGTACCAGATCATTAGCTTTTGATTAATCACTAATGTTTCTCTAGATAATATTTCCAGTCATTAATTAATACATTTTTATAGATATATTTATGATTTTTCTATTGTTTGAGCTGGGCCATGTTGTTCTAAACCTAGGATAAGAGTTCGAAGGTGGCTGAACAGAACAACACACAGCAGCTAGATTCCTATTCATGAGCCACCAAATTGTCAACTCCTGTTTGTTTTGCTAGCAAATGCTTATAAGACTCCCCTTGTATTATATTCATGTTTATACTCATTTGCTACATGACTTGTTCTTCTAGGCAGTTGACTGGAATGCAAGTTTTGACCCTGCAAGGAAAATTGTAATTATGACTTCTCGTTTGTTAAGCGATGCTCACCGTTATGTTTTACGCTGTCTGAGCACACATCGAGGGGTTCATTGTTGTTCAATATTTACATCTATCTCGGAGGTAGTTCTTTCCTTTTGTGCATTACTTTTCAACTGCTAGGTGTTATCAAATTGATGTTTGTAGTCTCTTCTGTTTTCATCTTCTGCAAACATGCAATTGATGGAATACTGTGCCATGCTTTTTATGTATTTTAGATTCTTCAGTTTGCTTTTACTTCAGACACAATGGTTTTCTCTTCATCTCTTCTGTTCATTGGAGTAGAATCTTACTGAACATCCCTATTGTAGGTAGCTCATGCAGTATATCCTGATTCACCTCTTGGACCTGATGCATACCATGAGTATGAAACCTTGCTTCTCCAAGATTATGAGGAGCTTGTTAAGAAATGTGAGACCAAGTCTGGACAGCCAGTTGATAGTAATACACTGGGGAATTTGACTTTTGAAGATGAAGGATGGTCCCGATTCACCTCCACTGAAGATGAGGTTCCTTCCCATGAGGCTAGTCCCACTGGAAAAAATATATATGAGGATAATCCAATAGGGAAAAGAGTAGATTTGGGGCAGAGATTGCTTGTTTCTGTCCATCACTTCCCCATGATATTATGTCCCTTTTCACCTAGAGTATTTGTCTTACCTTCTGAGGGGTCAGTTGCCGAAGCATGCTTATCAGCTGAACATGAGGATTCTCTTAGTGCTGGATTGCCTTCCTTGAGTACTGGATTGCCTTCTGATGGTGATGAGGTTCCTCCAGCTGCAACCCTTACTGCACATTTTCTGTATCATTTGGCTGCCAAGGTAAGTTCTCTGTAGGCTTAAACCCTTTTCTGTTATAGGCTGTATTTTTTTTCCCTCATTTTTTTGACCTGCATTTGTTTTTCTTAAGATGCTTTCGTATTTTCTAAATCGTATGTTAGTGTTGAAAATGCTCAAAGTATGGATACCTGTGAAAGCTGTATGGTGAAACCCATGCGTTCATATTATTTTTATTACCTAGGGCAAATTGATAATTATTTGGTGTGAAACAGATGAAACATTTAAGAAGCACTAATTTCTGAGCATTGATTCTGTTGCTCATGTGTGCTCTTGACAATACTGCTTTGTACTGTTTAACACCAAAGGTTAATATGGATTGATTCAAAACAAGAAAGAAAGTAGAGAAAACTTTTTAGCCAGACATATAGTTTCTTCTTCTTCTTTATCTCCTGCAATTTGTTATGTTACACTGCTGCTTGCCATGCCTCTTTATAGAACCATGACCATGATGTCTTTTGAAAAACATGTAGATGGACTTGAAAATGGAAATATTTTCCCTTGGTGATTTGTCAAAAACTGTTGGGAAGATTTTGACAGACATGTCAAGTCTTTATGATGTAGGACGCCGAAAACGTACGGTAGGGTTATTACTTATAGACCGCACCCTCGATCTTCTTACTCCATGCTGTCATGGGGATTCGCTTGTAGATCGTATGTTTTCAGCTTTGCCCCGTAAGGAAAGAACATCTTCCTCTGCAAGTATCAAAGGATCACAAGCCCAACTTAAACTTGGTCCTTCTAGCCTAGAACGTGTCCCCCTTGAGGTACAGATACCAATTGGGAAAATTTTAACCGAAGAAGATTCCAATATAGATGATTCTCGGCTTTCAGATTGCATTGAAGCTTTTCTGTGTGGGTGGGATTCCTATAACTCTGCTTCTCAAATGGTAGATTTGATTAATTTCAGCAAGAAAACTAGTGATGAAAAGTTGTGTCCTGCTGAGCTACTAAAGGGATCCTTGGTCTCCACTGAAAACTTCCGTGGAACACCATATCTGGAAGCCATACTAGATAGGACAACAAAAGATGGGGCTATCCTGGTGAAGAAGTGGCTTCAGGAAACTCTACGTCGGGAAAATATCACTATTAACGTGAGAACTCGTCCCGGTTTTGCTTCAAAATCAGAGTTACAACCCATGATTAAAGCCTTAGCTAAAAGCCACTCATCTTTAATAAGGAACAGAGGAATTATTCAGTTAGCAACAGCTGCATTGTATGCCCTTGACGAATCATGTAGTGCCAGATGGGATGCATTTATCAGTGCAGAGAAAATATTGAGTGTTAATGCTGGGGATACAAGCCAGAGTCTTGTTGCTCAAATAGGTGATCTTATCAATAAAAGTGCCTTTGCTGGATCAGATGTCAAGAGGAGTGGAAAAATGGAACTCTCACAAGGGCTACTTTCTTTTCAAGATGCTTTGCTCCTCACAATTACTGGTTATATTTTGGCTGGTGAAAATTTCCCAACTTCTGGATCCGGAGGCCCTTTTTCTTGGCAAGAGGAGCATTTTCTTAAAGAAGCTATTGTTGATGCAATTCTCGAAAACCCATCTGTGGCTAGATTGAAGTTTCTTCATGGTATAACACAAGAACTTGAGGCCAATTTAAATAAAACTAAAGCAGATAAAACCAAAGAGACATCAACTGATCAATTAGACATTGATGATTTTGATGATGATCAGTGGGGTAAATGGGGAGATGAAGATGAAGACAAAGATAATAAAGAGCAAGCATATGATGACATGCAGCTTAAGTTGGAGTTGCGTGATAGAGTTGACAACCTTTTCAAGCATCTTCACAAGTTATCTAGTTTAAAGAGCAAGAATGTGCCTTTGAGAGAAGGGCCATTGGCTTTTGAAAGCAATTTGAGTAGCAATCCTTGCACAAATAAAGGATTACTTTATAAGCTTCTAACAAAGATTTTTGGCAAGTATGATGTTCCAGGGTTGGAGTACCATTCCTCTACAGTAGGGCGACTGTTTAAAAGTGGGTTTGGAAGATTTGGCCTTGGACAGGTGACTTTAATTTCCACAAATCTTTCAACTTTCCCATGTTGTAATGTTATAATAGTTCTAATGTTTTTGACTTTTTTTTTTTTGAAAACACTGCAGGCAAAACCAAGTCTTGCTGACCAAAATGCAATTGTGGTATTTGTTGTCGGAGGCGTCAATGGTGTTGAGGTCTGAATTTCTTTGATATTTTAGCGTTTCCTTTTCTTTTGCCTTCTTCTTCCTTCAGAATTCTTTCCATTGCTTAAATTTTTAAAGGCTTCTGAATGTGGTTTTCTTGGTAAAAATCAGTATTCCCATGTTTGTACATCTTGCCTGGCAGGAACAGGACGATTCTCTGCATTTTTTTCATTTTTTTTTCCCGACTCAGATAAAATTGACACCTTCATAATGTTGTGTATTGCTGCAAGGCACGGGAAGCACAAGAGGCATTATCAGAAAGTGGAAGACCTGATATTGAATTAATTCTTGGTGGAACCACACTTCTAACTCCTGATGACATGCTTGATTTGCTATTGGGGCAGTCTAGCTACATTTGACTTGTCGCTGACATTCTATTCCCTTCCCAACCGCAAAGAAGGAATACATGGTTAAATCTTAAAAACTAGAGTTGAATGATGCCAGATATGTATCATGTTGCACAGTTGATTCTGATTTTTTGATTTACCCATAATCAATGGCCCTCCACGTATTTGGAAAAAACAGAATTGACTTTCAAGAACTGCACATATATGTTCATGTTGACAGGCAGCAGCACCCTTCTAATTATTTTAATGGAATCAGTTAATGGTAAGGGCATTAAAATGAAACAGTTGAAAGGTTAGGATAGGGATTAAAATGAAGGTTTGATAAAAGGTTAAGGGCTTACTGCGCATTTTAATCTAAAATTGACATTTCTATTCCCATTTAAGAAAAATTGGCATTGTCCAATGTAGTAGAATTATTTAACGAAAAGATATCATTAGAATATTTTAATGGAATTTGAGATCCAAACGCAATAATTGACAAGTTAGAGGCTGAAATGAAATGAAGTTTTATTTTAAGAAAATTAGTGACATTTGGTTATAAAGAAGAGAAAAAGGTCTTACGATTATAGTAGTTCCATGAAAGTTTCATTTGGCTTATCCAATCACATTTTCATACAGTTTAAAATTAAATAAATAAATAATTATCACATTAAGTAAGACAAAAAATTGTGATAAAAAGTTGAGATGAATAATATTTTTCTATATATTATCATGTTAAAAAAATCACCGAATTTCCTGCAGAAATTGCACTACCAATTTTTTTTGGATTTGATAATAAATATTTTCCATCGAGTTATGTATTCACAAGTTACTGCAGGCATGGAAAGAGCTAAAGAAAAAACATTTTCCATCAAGTCAAAGGGTTAATCGGAAATTGAACGTGGTTAGTCCCTTTTGGCCTAAAACCCCAAAACCCTGCTCCCCTTTTCTGGTTCCTCTCCTACTCTCACTTGCAGTTGAATACACAAAAATGGCAGGCGTGAAGCTCCTCCTGTCTCAAGCTCGCCGCCTTTCCCTCGCCCAATACTCCTCTTCTCCATTCCGCCCTCTGCAAAGATCCTTCTCTTCCTCTTCTTCCTCAAATCCTCCCCATCCCCATGCAGACTCAGAATCCTCTTTCAACAAACACTCCCAGTCAGTCCCCATTCAGCCTGTCTCCTACGCCCCCAAACCCAAAGACCCCACGCCCCCTCAGCCACAGCAACACGAGCAACAACAAACACAACCAGACCAAACCCCTCAACAGCAACCCCCACCCCCAAGGCCAACCCTGGAAGGGCCTCGACCCATCTGGAGCCGGGACGATCTCCGCTATGTCAAAGATGTACCAAACATTTCACCCGTGTCGTATCCTGCACGCGTGGCCCCACTCCCCGAGGATCGCGTCGGGGTGTCTGAAGAAGATGGGGAGGTGAAGACGGAGGAGAGCGAGGAGACGGAGCGAGAGAGTAGAAGAATCGAGGTGGAGAGTCGAATGAGGAGGAGACCTATCAGGATTGCGGCTGAGGAGGAGAAAGTTGGGATTCCCTTTCCTATGTTGATTAAGCCTGAGAAGAAGAACGAGACGCGGCCCGTCCTTGAATTGATGGACGCCATTAGGGAAGTCAAGGTCAGTGTAAATACTTCTTCTTTTTTGAAACAATTTAACTTTTCTGCTTAGGAATTTGACAAAGATTCAATTAAATTTTGCTACTATACTAGTCTGCAAGCTCTTCATTCAATTTCTTGTAACAAATACTCTTTGTCTTTTTATTTTTGGAAGATTTAGTACTGCTGTGCACTCACTGTCCTTGCATAATTATTTGATTTTAAATTTGCTTCACTGCTAAGTTATATCTTGTTTTATATGCTGGCATTGCTAATTACTGCATACTATTTCTAGTAAATCGTTCAGGCTAATGCCAAGGCAAAGTTTGACGAGACTATTGAAGCACATGTACGCTTGGGTATTGACCAAAAGCGATCTGAGTTGGTATGCACCAATTCTTCTGCTTTTTTTTTTTTTTCTAAAAGTTTTACTTCTAAATCTATCTTAATTAAGATGAATATTGTGGAAATGCTTTTGGAGTGTTTCAATATGGTTTTGCTTATATGAATGATTCATGTCTTATAATTTATAATTCTGTGAAATGTGCTTTTTAAAAAAATCTGCCAAATGAGATAGACACCCACTTATTCTCAATCAAGTATTTCTTGGTTCTTGGTACTTATTTTCTGTTAAGGGGTTTATATGAGCTCTAAGAGATCTCGTAGTCAGTGGCATACACATCTTAGCAATTTAGGTCTATTTAGACGGAAACAGACCATTCTCTTTCTCATTATTTCTCCCCTATTTGTTTTTTTATTGTTTTCTTAAACCATAAATGTAGTTGATAATTTCCATTTTGTCATTCCAGAAATGTATATTATAGTTTCTTTAGATTAAGAAAAGTGGGTAGAAGAGAATTGAAGTTCAGAGAAATGAAATATTTTCCTTTGTGGGATGGCTTTTTGAGGACAGTAGTCAAGATGACAATTCTGAGTGACCGAGAAGAGAAATGAACCAATTTCTTGGTTGCGCTAAAGACTAGAGACAGAAATGAAGAGAACAGATATTATGAGTGACAATCTGCTATTGATGCATTTTCATCCCTTTAAAAATAGAGAGATTTGTAGAGAATCAGCAATAGCAATTTTTGTTACTAATATGTCCTCCAAAATCATGAATGAAAGGTTTATAGAGAACCAGCATATGTAATTTCACTCTTTTTTCTCTCCTCACCTCTTTTTCTAAACCCAAATTATTGAAATTTCTGTTCAAATCACTTATCTTCTTCTCTCTTACTATTTTTTCAATCTTAAATAGCTATACATGATGTCAGTGTCTTAAAAAGCAAAGCTCAAACTTGTCTGAAGATGATGCCAGCTAGCTTAGTTGATAAGTTACTTTGATGATGCCGGGTTCTCTAAAGATTGCTAGTGGGCCAGGGCAGGGTGTGGTGAGGGAGTTATGGGAGGGGGAAGGTGCAGCTTGCCCTGCTCTGTTGCTGATGTTTATTCCCACATTCTTTTAAATCAATTGCAATTTTGGTTTCTATATGCCTAATAAGAGGTTTATGTGTTTACACTTATTGCTCTTTCAATTGAAATGCAGATTGTTCGTGGTACAATGGCACTGCCTCATGGTTCTAAGAAGGTATTTTAGACTTTGGCCAGACCATGGGAACAGGTTATGATACCCTGTTTTCTAGCCTGTTGATGTCATTATTATTTGAATTTTCAGGAAGTTAGGGTGGCTTTCTTTGCTGAAGGAGCAGATGCCGATGAAGCTAGAGCTGCTGGAGCTGATATTGTTGGTGGTGCTGAACTTATTGAAGAAATTGCAGGTACTAGACCCCGTCTCATTAAAACTTTTTGCCCTAGATCTACTTAATTCCGGTACTGCCTTGTCTAAATTAATTAATGTTAGTTCACGCCTGTCAGAGTTTAATGTCCCTCTAGGTTTAGCCTCAAATTTGCTTTCTCATTTCCTTTCTTTTCTTTAACTTGTACAGAAGCAAGATGTGTCTTACTTCCTTGGACCTATCTTTTAACTAATCTATGATTGGCTCTGAACCTGAGCTTGTATCCATGCAGGCACTGGCAAGGTTGATTTTGACCGATGTTACTCAACCCATAAATTCATGACCCGTCTTTATAAGGTTCTTGATTTCAGATGTTCTTGTAAATAGTGTCACTAGTTATATATAGCCGTTTGGTTGAAGGCTATGTATTTTTACATCTTGCAGATATCAAAGATTCTGAATCAGCATGGTCTGATGCCAAACCCTAAAGTAAGTTTATTATCTAATATTTATTTTCATATTGCATAGGCCAATATTTGACTTGTAATACCTCATAACTGAATTCTTGTATAGCAAGGTACTGTAACCAAAGATGTTACCAAGGCAATCAAAGAAGCAAAACAGGGTCAAGTAAAATTCAGAATGGACAAAACATCAATTGTGCATGTGGGTCTTGGAAAGGTGACATATCTTAAAAACATAATCTCTCAGTTTAAGTATATGTGTGCTGAAGGCTAGGTCATGGAACTTTGCACTTGTTGTATAGGTGAGCTTGTCAGAGGAGTTTTTGCGTGACAATGTTGGTGCATTTATGAATGCTCTTTTGCAAGCAAAGCCTGCAGGCTTAAAGAAGAGTAAGAGAGCTACACATTATATTATTATATGTTTGCTGATTTTTTCACTCCTAGGCTTGTCACTGTATTTTGCCTGGAGATATTTTCCTTTTATAGTGTAAAATTATTACGCAGTTGCCATTTTCGGACAGATTCTCTGGTTATAAATAATTTTTCCCTAATTCTTTGCAGCTTCCAAGTATGCTGGGTATGTGAACTCCTTCCATATTTGCAGCACGGTAAGTTCATCATCTTTTAATATTACTTTGGAGCAGCTGTGAATTGATTGCTATGTGGCATAGATACCTCTAGCATTTTGAATTGGGTCAATTTTTATAAAGTAGGAAAACTAATAATATTCCACCTGTTATGCTTGGGATTCTTGTCAAGTTTGCCCAAAATTGAGAAATATTTGTACTCTACGAAACATAGCTAACATTATAGTTGTTTGCAATTTTTCAAGTGCATGTTTGAATGTTTTAATCCAACCTTTTTCTAATGTTGACTATAAAGGCACTACGTTGAAAAGGAAAACATAGAATTTTAACACATAGGTTTTAGCTGATGTATACTATTACTATGGCATACTGCATATAATTAGACTGTATAAAGTTGCAAGTGCAAAATGTTTATAATACCAAAATTCTTTGTCCATTGAGTGGATGAGAACTTTAAGATCAGCCCGCTCATGCACAAGTTTTCTTTCTCTGCGTTCTAATGTGATCTAACAAGGAAATAGATGCACTTAATGTCAGAATCCAGGCAGTTGACTCTTGATGTTGCTTATGTCGGTGGTAATTGCCTATATTCCCTTAAATTTGTCAAGATATTAAATTTGTTAATTAAATTGGCAAATATTAAATGCAGCTTTAGCTTGGTATAGGGGTAAACACCGGAGAGAGATCACTAATAAAACATGATGCTGATTCCTTTTTTGATTGTTATTTTCTCCTTGTTGGCCTTTTTGTTTGCTTGGAGTCTCAACATGTTAAGCATTGCCAGAAGGGGTGGTTTTTCTT